AATGTCGAAAGGAACCTCATCTGGCTAGCTCAACCGCCGTTATATGGACTTAAGCTGTTGTGATTACTCAAAACTTAACAAACTGACAATGTTTATTTTAGTTATTATTACGCAATAGGTACTGATGATATAATTTTTGGCTTTTTTTGTTGCTTCTGACATGGCACGGCATTCATCGTCAGTCCGACCGCCGTCCGTCGACAACCTTTCTTTTAACATCTTCTGAAGAACCATTGTGAATAGGGTCATGATATTTAGCTAGTAGCTTCATGGGACGTAACCTATCCAAATTTGCGAACAAAATGACATTGGTCTGCTCATAGACGTATATACTGGCTTTATACATCTCTGATCTGATTTCAAGGTCACCGGGTTAAAATATGATATGTGATGGAGTGTTGCCAACATAATTGACCTTGGCCATTGTCCAGGGTCACAGGAATCAAATCAGTTAAATGATGACAAAGAGTTCGCTGGTATAAGGTACTACAAAGTTACTTACAGTACGGATGTATTCAAGGTCACGGCGTTAAAATTTGTTAAAAATGCTTAAAGACTTCTTCAGGACAATCAAAAGCCCCAGAGTAAAGCTATTTGGCCAGTAACTTGCTTGTATTGAGAGCTACATTATGTGCGAAGGAAACTAAATTGACCTATTTTCAATGTCAAGAGTGTAAATGTTTTAAGATGTTCAATTCATATTTCAGGAGAAGCATGCTTGGCAAGAGGCTATAAGGGGTTTTAAATCGCGTGGTCTTGACTAATTTCAAGGTCACAGGGGTTAAATATGTTAGCTTGTAGGAATAAATAGTGATGTACTTTGTTGGAGTAAGTGATCTTCTGACCTATAAACAACTTGTCAGACCCATACGAAGTTTAACCAGCCTTAACAGCTACGAAGTGTCTCCAAATGTATGACCTTGACACACTTTGGTCACGGTAGTCATATGTGTGAAAAAAAAATAACAACTTCATCCTCAAAGTCATTAACCCTTAAAGAAGTGGCATTCAATCCCTGTGGGTGAAATGAGGGAATCTCAACCATTGGGAAAGACTCTTAAGGTGCAAACCTCTCGACAAGCCTCGTGTTGGCAACTGAACAAAATTTCCCCTCTGGTTGCCATCCCCCTATCTCACCCCGAGGGTTTGACATCCCCCTATCTCACCCAAGGGTTTGACATCCCCTATCTCACCCCGAGTGTTTGACAGATTTTATGCTACACTCGTGCTGATAGATTTGACATGTTATACATCGTTTAATAGACAGTGTCCAACCCAAGTTTCACGAACATTCATTAACATGAGGAAATTTCCTTACTAAGAAGAACCCTAAATAATGAGAAATCCTATGGAAAACTTATTAACAACACTCCTGTAACTATGGCTAGTTGAGACACTTAATAGGTTACATCCTCTTCAGATTAAAATCACGTCTCGATATTTACCTGTAATTCCCGACAAAGAAGGGTCACCTCATTGCCAAGATGTATTACAAAGGTAGTGATTGTAACGTCGCCATGGTTTCTATCATTAGCGGTGAGAGCATTATAGTTGATTTGTTGTCCGTTTAAGCATCTACCAACAACCCTATAATAGTAACCTGGAAAAACACATTTCTATGATTAACGACCAACAGATACACCACGTATCACGTCCTAGTCTGTTCAGTCAACACTTTGATGATCACCACGTATCACGTCCTAGTCTGTTCACTCAACACTTTGATGATCTGTTTTTCTCCCACCCTTTAAAGGTGCGTCTCCCTTTTAAGTCGGAGACGATCACCTTGTCACTCCATAGGGCGAGAAAGCCTCGTGCAGAATGGCGCGATCTAAGTCATACCAATAGCATGACGTCACGTCAACAGTACCTGCAATCAATGCTTTTGTTTCATGCAATCGCCGCTTCTCGGCAGATTTGTGAGTGAAACAGGACGGGAGATAAACAACCATCCCCTACCTTGAGGGTGTGGCAGAGAAATCCACAACCCTCAAGCCTCGGGTGAGACAACAAAGAATAGCATCACTTGGGTTGGAGATTTCCCTGTCACATCCTCAAGGTAAGGGACGATTCTATCAATCAACTTTAAAACTCCAACGTTTGTAAACCATGATGAGGTTGTTCAGTCTTTGATGACGATCTGTCCAAGATCCTGCAAAAGGCATGGTGGCGCGGGATGCCACATGTTTTATACGACTTTACGCTTTAAATACCTGACATTACCTGTGGTTTTGGTCCTTGCTGTCATTAGCCTAGTTAGTTCTCACGATATGGCCTTTAAATCCGTACTTTTACTAGCAACAGCATCAAGCCCTCCAAACAGCATCCGGTCTAACGAGTGAAGTACCTTGATTAGTTTTCAGTGTTTTCCACTAGCCACTAGCTATTGCAGACACATTTCCGTGATATGACATTAAGATCACTACAACCTTATTAGTCCCCTACCAAAGAGACAGTGGAAATTTTAAGATGGCAAATGTCCGTCCTCCAGCTGTTTGATGTTCTGAATCTTTTCACACTGAACTTGTTCCCATGTGTCAAAGCAGTTCCGGCAAAGGATCTAAGGTCAATTCCATTCCTGAAAGACCTATTATATGCTTCCTAACAGTAACACATTATACCTGTGATTTGTGTAAAACTTAAGGTTGTATGCCACCTTACACATTATACCTGTGATTTGTGTAAAACTTAAGGTTATATACTACCTTACACATTATACAGAACCTGTGTTTTGTGTAAAACTTAAGGTTGTATGCGTCCTTACACATTATACCTGTTATTTGTGTAAAACTTAAGGTTGTATGCTACCTTACACATTATAACTGTGATTTGTGTAAAACTTAAGGTTATATGCTGCCTTACACATTATACCTGAGATTTGTGTAAAACTTAAGGTTATATGCTACCTTACACATTATACCTTTGATTTGTGTAAAACTTAAGGTTTTATGCTTCCTAACACATTAAATTATACCTGTGATTTGTGTAAAACTTAAGGTTATATGTTACCTTACACATTATACTTGTGATTTGTGTAAAACTTAAGGTTATATGCTACCTTACACATTATACAGAACCTGTGTTTTGTGTAAAACTTAAGGTTGTATGCTTCCTTACACATTATACCTGTTATTTGTGTAAAACTTAAGGTTTTATGCTTCCTTACACATTATACAGAACCTGCGATTTGTGTAAAACTGAAGGTTATATGCTGCCTTACACATTATACCTGTGATTTGTGTAAAACTGAAGGTTATATGCTGCCTTACACATTATACCTGTGACTGGTGTAAAACTTAAGGTTTTAAGCTTCCTTACACATTATACCTGTGACTTGTGTAAAACTTAAGGATGTATGCTTCCTTACACATTATACCTGTGACTTGTGTAAACCTTAAGGTTGTATGCTTCCTTGCACATTATACCTGTGACTTGTGTAAAACTTAAGGTTTTAAGCTTCCTTACACATTATACCTGTTATTTGTGTAAAACGTAAGGTTTTATGCTTCCTTGCACATTATACCTGTGATTTGTGTGAAACTTAAGGTTGTATGCTTCCTTACACATTATACCTGTGATTTGTTTAAAACTTAAGGTTTTATGCTAATCTGTGATTTGTATAAAGAGTTGTCTCTCTTAAAACAGGAGATTTATCAATTCATTACCATTGTCATAAGTTACATGTAATAAACCGCTTACACTCTTTCAGTACAGTCCTATGTTAAAACCGGGGGTTAATGAGTTAATTTTGAACTCTTATAGAAAGGAAATACAGGTAAGAATTTTTGTTTTATATGAAATCAGGCATGTGTTTACACCAGGAACTTGATATATCTTCAGTAGTAGTCGAAGGGAAGTAACTCTGACAGAAAGGCAATATATGTACAAGTACCAGTTCCTGAGGCTGACTAGAGATGTATATACTACATGTCTTTAAATGTCTCTGGATTGGCTGTAACCTTGTGGCTGGGATTATTCTGGTATAAGTTACATGTATACTAGTATAATTATCTATTTCATCAACAAACTAAACGTTTAAATAGGTACTTCGTATTTCTAGTGATTATTTTACAATATGATAATCAGAAGGAATTCTACTGTAGCCAGTATGGTCGAAGGGAAGTAACTCTTATAAGTAAACAAACCCTCACTGAAATGAATTGCATGGATTGAGAGAGTGCATTTGGGAAGAATTGTTTTAAACAACCGACTGTTTTGTGTTATACCTCCATTGACATATACAGTGGGTATGAAGCTGTTTTGTTACCTCAGAGTCCCAAAACTTGACACCTTTTTAAAATTTCCATGGGGGAGATTCTGCGTGCTCAAAATTAAACCTTATTAAAATGTGTTCCTATATACCCCTATGGGAAAAAATAATTTAAAATGGCATATTTTGAATTGTTCTTTAAAATTTAATAAAATAACCTCGGTATACATCAATGAATTGGGTTGAAAATGAATATTAAACTTAAATGTCCAAAAATCAAGAGTCTCCTTCCAAAATAGCGAGAGTTGGCAAGTATGAGTCTGTTGAGTAAATAGAAATATCAACGCATATCTAATATCAAATACAATTATAACAAGTTTTACATTTCTTTATTTCCAAATGTAAATCACTTCTAAGAATGGTTGCATATAATTCCATTCCACAAACATTCCATCCATTCCATTGGTCTTTCCCACAATTTACAGTAAAATTACATTCATTTTTTAGACTTATCACATATATTCATTTCATTCTTACACATTAAATTAATCACATAAATAACAAGTCAATAGATGTACAGAAAGGTTGAAAAGTTTGTTTTACTCCTCTTAAAACTTCTACCAAAAATATCAAATCTTTGTTAGTTTTGAAAATAAAGCAAATAAAGTCAATAGATATACAGTAAGGTTGAAAATTTGTTTGACTCCTAAAATCATTCTACCAAAAATATCTTCTTTTTAAAAAATAAAAAAGGCAAATCAAGTTAAAACAAATACACCATAAGGTTCAAATTTCATTTCCTCCTTGTTAATATCCCCAAAAAAATGAAACTATTGTAGCAAAAAAAACCAGAAAATAATATTGAAACTTCTATCTTTCCAATTTGCATTTTTAACTGACAAAAAACACTTTAGGATTCCTGTCCATTGCAAAGCTAGAGAATTCCACTGAAATTTTCAGTACAACCAGTAATCTCCCCTTAATTTAATTTTTGACATATAACGGTTGTGTGACTGACACAGGGTACTATCATTGACATGGTATCTCAGTTGGTTAGAGCCACAGTTTACTGAATAGAGGTCCAGGGTTTGGTTAGAGCCACACTTTACTGAATGGAGGTCCAGGGTTTGGTTAGAGCCACGGTTTACTGAACAGAGGTCCAGGGTTTGGTTAGAGCCACGGTTTATTGAATGGAGGTCCAGGGTTTGGTTAGAGCCACGGTTTACTGAATAGAGGTCCAGGGTTTGGTTAGAGCCACATTTTACTGAATGGAGGTCCAGGGTTTGGTTAGAGCCACGGTTTACTGTAGAGGTCCAGGGTTTGGTTAGAGCCACAGTTTACTGAATGGAGGTCCAGGGTTTGGTTAGAGCCACAGTTTATTGAATGGAGGTCCAGGGTTTGGTTAGAGCCACGGTTTACTGAATAGAGGTCCAGGGTTTGGTTAGAGCCACAGTTTACTGAATGGAGGTCCAGGGTTTGGTTAGAGCCACAGTCTATTGAATAGAGGTCCAGGGTTTGGTTACTGCCACAGTTTACTGAATAGAGGTCCAGGGTTTGGTAAGAGCCACAGTTTACTGAATAGAGGTCCAGGGTTTGGTTAGAGCCACAGTTTATTAAATAGAGGTCCAAGGTTTGGTTAGAGCCACAGTTTACTGAATAGAGGTCCAGGGTTTGGTTTGAGCCACAGTTTACTGAATAGAGGTCCAGGGTTTGAATCCTGGTCCGGCCCAGTCGTATTTTCATACACAGTTGTTGATTATTTTTTGTTTAATTCATCTTTTTATCTTTTTTTGAATAGTCATCATATTTTTGTTTTAAAAATGATTAATAAAAGCTATAGCCAGACTGGAAGTAAATGTTCCAACATAATAAATTACAGGGCAGTGACAAAGGTGATCCGTAAAGACAATGTGTCTATTGTATCAGGGCCCGTATTCATGAAACCGTTCTCGTGCTCAAGCATGGATTCTGTGCTCAAACCAACTTTCTTGTTACTCGCTTAAATCATATCAAACGATCAAAACATCAAATGTAAACATTGAAAACAGTTTACTGCCTTATGTCTCTTTAAAGTTGTCCTAAATCATTGACAAAATCAGATTTTCTTATTAGTTTATAACCGGAACAAATAATTCGGGTTGAGCACAAAATCCATGCTGGAGCATGAGAATGGTTTCATGAATACGGGCCCAGTAGAAATGTCTGCATTGCACCTCAGGATCTAGCTATACAAATCCTTTCGCTTCTACTATAAGTTACTGGTAAGGTAATGGGAGGGTGAGGATCGTTTGAGGGTGAGGATCGTTTGAGGGTGAGGATTGTTTGAGGGTGAGGATGGTTTGATTGTGAGGATGGTTTGAGGGTGAGGATTGTTTGAGGGTGAGGATGGTTTGAGGGTGGTATGGGGGTTGGGATGGTGGGGGTGAGGGTGGGGGTGAATACAAGCACCTTTCCTTTTATAGTAATTCATTTCAGTATAAACGTAAACAATGATAACCCTGATTATAATGTATACTGTACACTTGTTCATACAATTCATTTCTCCCACGGTTTTTTCATTCTCTCCATTTCTGGCGGATTTGGATCTATATCTAATGGTTTGATGTTCAGCTCTTCAACTCCCGGCAATTTCAGTCCCTTTTCCAGCATTTCTGCAATTTTACTAAAACCTAATTCAGACATTTGAGTCGAATCTAAGTTATCTCCCTTTTTCAATTCTGAAGTTAATCTATTTTCACTTTGACAACCATCCATCTTTTTGGAGGAGTCAACATCATTGCAAACAAGCATATTTGATTGTGTGTCAGTTTTTGTAGACTTGATGTCAATTTTCACAAAATCTTCAATCTTTAAATCTAATAGTGAATCACCTAAAACAAAAAAGTGAACAAAATTTAAAAGTTGATTCATCAAAATGATTAGCATATTTAAACAAGAGGCCCAGAGGGCCTGTATCGCTCACCTGGATATCTAAGCAATCATGGCAAAATATTCTCCAAATGAGATCCAAGGGAATATGCCAGACCCCAAGGCCAATCCGTGTAGCATATATATCTGTATTCGATTTTTCATGCCCAGCAATTTTATGTATGGTTATGGGGTTGGGATCTCAACTGTTTTCAAGCTGTGACTCAGAAACTAGGTCCCTACGGTTGTGGCCAGACCACAGGATCAAATCTAATATCATAACTGCACTTGTCTCTTTTTGCCCAGCATTTGTATATATAGTTTTGGGTGGGGATCTCAACCGTTTCAAAGTTATGACCCAGGGGCCAGTCCCTAGGGCCATCCTGGAAGCAACTGTGCATTCTTCTCTTCATACTCAGCAATTGTATATATGGTTATACGGTGGGGATCTCAACCATTTCCAAGTGCTAAACTTATTTTGGCCCCACTCCTTAGCCCGAGGGTCAGCCCCGAAATTTGTACAATTTTGAATCTCCATCACCTAGGGATGCTTCCAGTCAAATATGGTTGATATCCATCTCTTAGTTCCAGAGAAGACGTCACTTAAAGCAATATAGCCAAATTGACCCCTTTTGGCCCCGCCCCTCAGCCTCCTGGGGGGTCAGCCCCACCATTTGTACAATTTTGAATCCCTACCACCTAGGAATGCTTCCAGTCAAATTTAGTTTAATTCCAATCAGTGGTTAAGAAGAAGAAGTCGTTTAAAGAAATTGTTGATGGACGGACGACAGACGGACGGACGCCACGGTATAGCATAAGCTCACCTTGGTCCTACGGACCCGGTGAGCTAATAATACAGTACACTTTGTACATGTCTTAACTCATTCACCCCTGAAGACACATTGAAACCCTTCCGATGCAAAGGGTGGAATAGTTCATTATGAAGTTTCGGGTGAATGAGTTAACCATCTTGGAATTATCAATGATACTGTGGGTACAAATATAATAACTTGGGGAAATAACTTTATTATTTAGGGCTATCCAAACCTACAATATATCATACAACACCCCCAAACACTGGATCAGTGGATATATTGACGTATTTTTATCTATTAGTCCAATAAATTACATATATATATATATGTTTAAGGTATTTTCATGACATTTGCATGAAGTTTTATAAAAACCTATTAAGGAATAAGTTGCTAGAGTTATGTCACTGAATAAGTTTTTTTGAAATAGTAACAGTGACCTCAATTTTGACCCTGGAACCCTGCAATAGGAATGCATTTAAGGTATTTGCATACTGGACCTTTGTATAAAGTTTGATCAAAATCTGTGCACAAAAGAAGTGGCTAGATTTATGGTACTGAATTGGTTTGCAAATTTCTCTAAATAGTAACAGTGACCTTGACTTTGACTATGGAACCCTAAATAGTAACAGTGACCTTGACTTCGACTATGGAACCCTAAATAGTAAGTGACCTTGACTTTGACTATGGAACCCTAAATAGTAAGTGAGCTTGACTTTGACTATGGAACCCTAAATAGTAACAGTGACCTTGACTTTGACTATGGACCCTAAATAGTAACAGTGACCTTGACTTTGACTATGGACCCTAAATAGTAACAGTGACCTTGACTTTGACTATTGAACCCTAAATAGTAACAGTGACCTTGACTTTGACTATTGAACCCTAAATAGTAACAGTGACCTTGACTTTGACTATGGAACTCTAAATAGTAACAGTGACCTTGACTTCGACTATGGAACCCTAAATAGTAAGTGACCTTGACTTCGACTATGGAACCTTCTCATACTTTACCTTTGGATGCAATGAGATAAAAGCCTATTGAGAAATAAGTTACTAGAGCAATGAAACTTAATCAGGACAGGATGGGACAGATAATGGGATCACTACACACCCTTTTAAAATGGAAGGGCTTTAAAAAGGAACAACAGTGTCTTGATATATGTTGGCACTTAGTGAGGTGACAAAAGATAAAAGAGCATTATATCAAAATCTGATTATACTACAGTCAAACCTCAAACAGATACTACCTCTATTGGAGACCACCTGTGTTCACAGGTCATTTACTGAAAGGACCTCTATTAGGTCATCAACCAGCCCATATCACATTATGGACTTCCCAAAGGTAGCTATATAACATTACCTTTCACTGAGTATCAACATTTATGTTTTTTATGTGAGAGAACCACAAAAATACAACAAATTTAATTGATACAGGACTACTGTTTGTTTATATGGGCTATCCGCAAAATATTGAACCATGAAACAATCTAAATGGCTTCAAACTACAAAAGAAAATACCCCCAAACTTTTCATGTTACACAGCGCTACAGTGTCTCTGGATTATAAATATTGGCCTTCTGTAACTATTTTTCCAACATTTTCTCCCCATTGTTACATATGTCACCCTTATACACACACGTTCTGATTGATTCTTGTCTTTTTATAGTTAATATCATAGTCGTACTATGTCCTCACTTATCCAATTTGCATAATCATTTCTAGCGGCGAGGCAATGTAGAATTTGTTAGAGGTCATAATAAACTACTTTCAGACCAGTTATGTAACTAATCTGCTGAAATTTGATAAAGAGTTGAGTACCTTCCTGTGTAATGTTGGGATGGTCCTTCAGCCATTGTTCATATCCCTCTCTTGTAACCTTTCCATATAACCTACATCATAAACATTTAACATCAGTCAATTTGTATCATAAACAACACCAAAATCACATCTGTAACAAACAAGAGAGACTGTGAGCGAGCTCACCAAGATATACCCCCACTTCATTTTATCTACCTATTCAAACTTGATTGCAGGAGGTATTTTACACCAATCACAAATCTCTTCCTTTAGGCACGTTTACATATGATGTTCTTTCCCTGTGCGAAGCTAAAAAAAGGTTGAAGTTATGGTTAAGGAGGAGTTGTGCTTACAAGGTTTCTGGAGTAGAAATGGAAGTCCTTTCTTCATGCAAATTACATATGATATTATTTTTGAACATTTACTGTGCCAAGTTATAAAAAAATCCAATAAGCAGTTTAGGAGGAGTACGTTGCTTAAACAACAAAACAATATTTTTGAAGAAGAAACTTAAAAGTGTCAAGGACCATAACTCCTGGAAAAAGGGGAATCTACATATTTTCACTGTTATGTGACACAAATATCCAAGTGTGTTTGGGGGGGGGG